TTTGTAAAACTGTCGTTATTGTTTGTCACTCTAGCTCTAGCCTCTGGGACAGTACCTGGCACAAGAGGCATTTGGTAAGCATTCACTGAGTGAATAAATTAAAGAATGCTGAAGACTTTATACCAGCTTCATAAACTCAAGGGGTTAATCTTTCCTGCTAAAATTCTCTCACTACCATTTTACTAAGCTCTGTGTGTGTGTGTGTGTGTGTGTGTGTGTGTGTGTGTGTACATATAAATAAGTATACACAGAGATTGTTTAAGCAGTATTTGGGAACCTTCACATTAGAGGGATCACTATGAGCAATATAACGTCGTAATTATAACTACTTTGCAGCATTTCTAAAATACGCCATTTGGGTTTAACATAGTTAAAAGGACTAATGGACACTCACAAAGTACTGTTAGGAGTTAATCTATACAGCCTCACTATTGGGGGAGGGTTCAACCTTGCAGATAAACAAATCAGTGCCATAATTCCACTATTCTGTACTTCCTTTATGAAGATTTTTCTCTTCCTAGTTTAAGAATTAAAAGTCTCAGTTAAATTATATTTAAAAATACAGCAGCATTTGATAATTACAAATAAAAAAAAAACTTGCCTATCCAAATTTTCTAGTGATTACCTAAATGGTTCAAGTGACCACTTATTAATCTCACCTTCATTTCCTCCTGGTCATGGAATATAAAAATATGCCAATAATCAAACATTTTATGAATATCATCAACCAATATTAATTCCCAGGAAAACCTGGCAAAACGATGATAGGAAAAATCATTCTTTTTAAAAGGATTACTCTAATACCAGCTGTCTTTTATGTTTTATAATCAAGCAAATCATATGACTGGCTGGACTAAATTCTACTTTCTGCTCTGCATATTCTCATACCTACTGTAGAAACCATCCAGGACTGTGTACCTTTAGGTCACCTATGAGTAAAGAGGTCACTTAAGACAAGTATGGCAATTTAGGGAATGTAAATAATATATTTAAACTATTTTTTGAAGTCCCAGCTAGAAAAATTCTACTTTGAGAAGTTAAAAAAATTCAAAGTTTTAATGTATATAGAGGCCCAGGAAATGCATTTAAGTTCAGGCTATGAGGTCTCATCAGAAAATGAACCTGTGGACAGAGAACACAGTTTAAATGTAAACACAGTAAACAAGTAAAAATGAGTTGGCTCTTTGCCACTTTGAATTTTTATTGGTTTGCTGGAGGAGAGCGAACACTTAGGTAAGATGGGGTAGACTTTATCTTTTCTTTCAGTGACCATGGAGAACTATTTTTTAAAGAGCTGTTGCCAGAATAAGCAAGACTTTTTCAAATTATCCAGCTGTCCAATAATACTAGTCCTTTGCTTTAAATTGAAAAAAATTACATTTTTAAATTTAAAGTTTTTTAGATTTAAAATGTCCGAAATGCACAGAGTGAAGTCAAGTAGAATAAAATAAAGCAAGCACCTCCGAAAAACACCAATACCACAGCAGATACACTTGTGTAATCAGTCAATTGTTTTTCTAAACATGCTTTAAATATCGAACAGAGGATTTAATCTTGCTAAGTATTATTTGTTTCAAAACTGTTTTCTTAAAAAAGTTTTGTTTGAGATATATGAAACTCCTTAAATGGGCAATTATCAGAGAAACTGGCTTTTAAGGAGAAAATAATAGTGTGAATGAGCTATATGTAACTTCCCTTTTTAAAAACAGAAGTTGAATCTGTAACACCAAATTTAGAAAGGAGAGTGGATGGCAGCAAATACCACGAGAATATCATGTTATAGCATAGACGCCCACTGCCGTTCTGTTCTGTTACAAATAAATGTACACTCTATGATCCTGAGTTTGCTCAAACAACGCATGTATTTAATCGTCCCTACAGATTACTCTTTTAAAAGAAAACATACATGTGAAAGAGTAACATCAAATCTTAAAAAATCACTTAAAAACTGAGTCAGATTCTCTGACTTTACTGTGACTCATTTGGCCTCATTACACAGAGTGTAGCATAGTCCATATTGCGGCTGTGGATGAATAGCTTTTGTGGGAATAATATTGGTAATTTCAACACATTTATATTTCCTTTTAACTTCCTTTAAGAAATTAAAGCCCAAATTACAAAAAGGTAGAAAAATTTTTTACTGAACCAGATATTCATTTTCTTTCTTCTTTTTTTGCTTTGGTGAGGAAGACTGTCACTGAGCTAACATCTGTGCCAAGCTTCCTCTACTTTGTATGTGGGACACAGCCACAGCATGGCTGTATAGGTCTGTGCTCAGGATCTGAACCCCCGAACCCCAGGCCACTGAAGTGGAGCAAGCAAACTTAACCACTATGTCACCAGGCCGGCTCTCAGATAGTCACTTTCAATCCATCCTGACTTGTTACCACTTTAGAACCGTTAGACATCATGCTTTTAGTTTTAGTGATAAAAATTAAGAGCTATAAATATAAAGACTCCAGAATTATTATTTTCACATTATAGCCAAAAATGAAAAGTGAGAAAATAGAAAGCTTTCCAAAAGTTCATCAGACGAAAAGATTAGAATTAATGAGGAGTCGTACCAATTATGGACAAAAATACTTAATACTATATAACCACAAATTCTCCCCAAACTCATCAATAAATTAAATGCAATTGTAATTTAAATCCCAATATTTTTGAACTTGGTAAGCAAATCCAGAAATTCATCTGGAATAGCAAAGGGCAAAAGACAGCTATAATAAGTTTAAAGAACAAGATGGGGGGGTGTGTCCTATCAGATATCAAGGCTTATTATAAAACTCTAGTAATTAAAACAGAGTGGTGTTGGCATAGGGACAAACAGATCAATAGAAGAGAATTGAGAGTGCACGAATAGACCCACACATCTACGGAAGCATAATATATGGCAGAGGTGAGATTACAGATTAGTGGGAAAGAACAGACTTCTCAATAAATTGCTACGGGTAACCTGGTTACCTGCCAGAAAAATGAAATTAGGTACCTAATATTTTTTCAAAAAATATTCAGTTCAGGTGTACTGAAATCTAAATCTGTAAAATAAAACTTTTGGGAGAGACTATAGGAAAATATGTTTATGGCCTCAGGGTAAGGAATGTGTGATTACTGTTTGTCTCCTGAGATTCATTCTCTACTTCCCTCTGCTTTGCTCTGTGCCTTGAAATGTTGGCCCCTGGGGACTAAGCTCCTTTGCCAACTAGCCTCCAAATGGATTCACCAAAAGGAAGGTGCCAGAAAGAGATCAGTGGGTCAGGGGAAAGAGTGGCTGGGGTATTTCTTGCCTGCCCCTTCCTGCTTTGGGCCCCTGTTACGGCAGTACCTCCCTCCACAACCACGGCTCCTGCAGGTGGCCCCTTCTCCAGGATGCCAACTCACGGATTCTGGCAACACCATTTCCTCCCCTTTCTCCTTTGGGCCTAAGGATAGTAACAGCTTCCTACTGTTGTTGGTCTTCTATGCCTCAACTTTTGTCACATTCCTGTAAAAAGTCCCTTCATTAAAATCTCTTTAGTGGAATTATTTGAGTGGAATTCTGTTTCCTGCCAGGACTTCGACTACTGAGAAACAAGACACCCAATGCACAAACCATAAAGAAAAAGATCAACAACTTTGATTACACTAAAAATTAAACATCTATTAAACAAAATATAGTATAAACAAGATAAAGGCAAGCTAAAGATTGTCAAATGATATACGTGATTCATATAATCAAGAAAAGATTAGTACTCAGAATTAATAAAGAATTCCATTGAATCAATATTTAAAAAGCCATATAAGCCCAACAGAAAAATGGGTGAAAGAGCAAACTCAAATGTCCAACAAATATGTGAAAAGATACTCAACCTCACCAGTAATAAGAAAAATGCAAATTGTAAAGAGAGAGTTCACAGCTCTCAGACTGCCTACTTTGGAGATAATTTGGCGTTATCCAGTAAAGTTAGAGATACACACCACACACACACACACACACACACACACACGGTCTTTCTCAGCTGGGGTTCCACAAGAAAATAAGTCCCACAGAAAAAGATTCAGGTGAATATTTCCTCAATTCTCCCAAGGACGGGATAAAGTTACAAACCAGTGGTGTGCCGGTAAATGTTTCGCAGGCCTGGGGGATGGGGAAAGAAGCCCTTATTTGTAGCATTTGCTGATTTCTGTGGTGTAAATACCCCCACCATGGCTGATTTCAGGCCTCCCAACTGAACTCAGAAAGGGATTCGCACAATTGCTCTTCGGAGCAGCTATGAGTCTGCAGCTCCAGCCTAACGCCTGAACCATTCTAGACCTACAGGACGGAAGTTATTTCACTACATACAATGGATGCCTTAGGGTAGTGGGGCTTAATTCTCTGGAGGAATTCTGGATGCAAAGAGCTAAATCTAGAATGCAGAGAAATTCTTATTTTTATCCCCCAAGGAGATATATAAGGATGTTTGTGGCAGCTTTGCTTATAATAGCTAAAAATTGGAAACAAGCTTAATGTTCACCAAGATGAGAATAAATTGATACACTCAAAACTACAGTGGTTAAGAAGTACTAAAGGGGGATTGGCCCGGTGGCGCAGCGGTTAAGTTCTCACGTTCCGCATCTCAGTGGCCCAGAGTTCGCTGGTTCGGATCCCGGGTGCGGACATGGCACCACTTGTCAAGCCATGCTGTGGTAGGTGTCCCACATATAAAGTGGAGGAAGATGGGCACGGATGTTAGCTCAGGGCCAGGCTTCCTTAGCAAAAAGAGGACTGGCAGTAGTTAGCTCAGGGCTAATCTTTCTCAAAGAAAAAAAAAAAAAAAGAAGTACTAAAGCTACCATATATTGACATGATTAAATGTCAAAAACACAATGCTGAGTAAAATTAAGCAAGCTGCATAATATATACAGTATAATATCATTTATATAAAATATGCAAAATAGTGCTGTTTATGTTGACAAATACATACGTATGCAATTATAGAATAGAAAAATTAGAGATAAAAAACATTCAGGAAAGTGGTTACCTCTGGTAAATGGTGGAGGATAATGGAAGCAGGGAGAGACACACTGCTGGCTTCTGTTTTATCTGTAATGTTTAATTTCTTTTTTAAAAACATGAAAGACAAATAAATATGTCGTAATACTACACAATTTTATTTTATTGTTTTAGATTTCATCAGGTTAAAAAAATACATTTTTTCTTTCTTCCTTATGGTTCCCAAGAAGTAGAACTTTATAAGGTTTTTTCCTACAATTTCTAATATCTATTACTAAAGATATTATTTGTACAATATTTGTATTTCATGCATTTCTTTATTCCCCATAATTTCAGTAATAACTTACTCCTTTCACTCACTTTGATATATTGTCCTTCTCTCTCTGTTACTAATAGTCTATAAAATTCAATAATAATGCTAGATTAACCTAAAGTTCTTAACAGGAAGCCCAGCTGACAGGGCAAGTATAAGAGAATAATTGGTTTAAAGCCTGAGTTTGGGGTCTGTTTCTCACCTGCCAGGCTAACTTTCATCTTACTGGAAAAGACAAAATTTCCTCTCAAAATATTGAAGATTTCTTCTTACTTCCTTAATATGCCAAATTACACATTTAGCACTAAAAAGTGAAATCTTATTTTGTTTTGTTTTTTAAAAAACAACGGAAACACACTTTCCCCACAAAATATCTTTCACTTGGTGTTCAGGTGACCCCTGACTGACACCAAATGCATTTAGACTCTTTCTTATTTTGTGTCTCTTGATATGAGGATCAGAGGAATAAGGCCCACAGGCTCTCTTGACCTTTGGGAACGTGACGCTGTCTTGGTGCCTGAGTAGTGGGACTTTTTTCAGAGATCGTCTTGAAATAAGCCTATGTTTTAAATACACACTTTTCTGCGCGCTAGCAGGCATTCTGAAGCTAGGTGGTTCTAAATAAAGAACTCTAGTCAACAACAGGAAATAACTCCCACAGAAAAAAGGGGCAGAATACAAACTCTCACCAACTCTTGTACACAGTTCACAACGGCCTTTTGTTCCATGCACATTAAGCCTGAAATCTTTACTTTTCAGAGCATGTTTGGGCCTTTGCAGAGCAATTAAATCTTTCTTTTCCTTCTGCTGGTTGTCCTTGCCTTCTTCTCTCTGAGGAAGTTAACCTTACAACTAACTTCTTACTGTGAGGCAGCAGATCAGAAAACGGAACAGCTTCTATTCCGAGACGTAATATATTTTTTTCTTAATGGAGCTTCTCAAGAAAAAAAAAAATCAACTCTCAGTTTAAAACTCACTTTTCCTTCTAATACCTACAATACCATGTAAACACACATGTGTGCGTTCTAAAGGAATGTGTTCATCCGCAGTCTATGTATCTAAAGGTATCAACCAGGATGCATCATATCAACCCATAAATCTAGACTGATGGGTTATCAACGCTTTACCAGGGACATTTCAGCAAATCAATGCAACTAGAAGACAAATTTATATTCTATTCAAAGGCTCCCATCTTGAGTTTTTAGTGAAAAAGAGGGAGAAAACCCTAGATCCCAAGCTAACCAAACAGAAAGACATCTGAAAGATGGTTTTCAAAGTCAAAGTGACTCCTACTGGAATGATTTGGTGGCATTTGACTACAGCACAGCACAAGCACTCCTGACAAGAGAACAGGGCTGAGCAGAAGAGCTTCAGTATGACTGCAGACTGGTACTTCTTCCCTCTCCTATACACTCGGCCTGCCCTCTTTACTGGCTCCTTCCTGTGGTCAATAAATTACAGACTCAACGCGCTCTATCTTCACTGTTAACACAAGAAACAATCCTCCTCTGCTTCAGTGCTGCAGGAATGCTGGTGGCTACTCCTGTCTTTACCCTTCACAGCTTTAGTCCCTCCTATTTCCTCTGGCTGCTGCAGAACTGTATTGACCATCCCCAGAAAAGGGCACCAGTGCCCCCTAAATGCCAAGGCCAACGGACACTTCTCAGTTCCTCATGCTACTGAGCTGCTCTGCAGCATGTGACATTGCTGACCACCTCCACCCATTTCTTTCAGTAACTTTGCTTGAACTACACAGTGTCCTGGTTCTTATCTCTCTAGCCACTTGTAGTTTCCTTTGCTGGCTCCTCTTCCTCTGCCCAACCTATAAACCTATAGTTCTTGACTTTTTTTTAATCACCTCCGGTGGCAATTTGAGACCAGAGAGGATTATGAGGTGAGTGGGGGATGGGGATGATTGGTTAGGATATCAGTCTTCAGAAAAATTTGGAGATATTAATGTGTTGAAAAAGTTTTGCTAGCTGATAATCACTGTCCAAATGTTTGCATTCCCTATTGTTTTATTTTTGCTCCCTCTTCTCTTCTTCTCATCCTATAAACTCTCCCTAGGCAACCTTATCCACTTTCAGGGCATCTATATGCTAGTGCTTCACAAATCATTAACCACATTCCAGACCTTTCTCTTTGAGCTTCATATCTGACCTTTATATAGAGACAGACCATATATCCAGTTTGTTAGGGTCATTTCTAGTTTATGCTTATCCTGGCACAATTATTAATAGCACCCTATTTCAATCTCAAAAAGGTACTGGTTTGAACCATAAAAGTATATAATTAGCCTATTTCTACCCCATTGCCTATTAGACATCTCCACTGGGTATCATATAGGCATCTACAACTCACAGCACATCTAAAATGGTCCTAATCGTATCTTCCTTAAATCTGCCTGTCCTCCTGAATGCCTAAATATAGTTAAGGTACCAGCAAGGTACCCCTAGTGTCTAAGCCGGAAATCTAAGATTCAGAGTATCTTCCCTCTCCTCTTCCCTCACATTTAACTAGACATAAAGTTTTGTCAATTTTCTCTCTTAAGTACTTTTCAAATATGCTCTCCCTCCCCATTTTTCCCATCACTGGCCTAGTCAAGACTCTAATTATCTTTCACTTTGATTATGGCAACAATCCATCTCCTTACTTCCAATCTTGGATATTCTCCTCTAATCCAGCTACACCACCTACTGTGTGACAGGTAGCATGCTTTGTACTAGAAATACAAAATGAACAAGAGATGCTCCTACTGAGTTCACAGGGAAGACTAACTCGTCATTGTGATGCAATGAGTTACGTGGTGACAGAGACATGCTCAGGGGGACAATGGACACACACAAGTGGCCACAGAGCCTGGACACTGTGAGAGTAGTCAGGGAGGTGGTGATGGATTTTGGGGTAAATGGGAATTAGTCAAGGCCATTAAGGGAGATAGAGCAGCAGAGATGGGGAGGTGAGAAATAGCACAGGAGACAGGCGCAGATCTGAAGTGTAAATCACAAGCAGGGAGTAGAAACACACAAGACAGAGGGTTTGGCTGGGCATGTCTAGGAAGCTTGGATGCCACATGAAGGGGTCTGACCTTTACATTCTGAAGGTGGTGAGGAGTCATTAAAAGATTTCCCATGGGGGAGTGGCACGATCTGACTTTTATTTTAGGACATTAACTCCAGATGTATTCCTGAACGTGACAAAATCATCCTAAAATTTATTTAGAATAACCAACAAATGAAAAAGCTGTAATAATTAACAGAGTTGGGTTCTGGCAAAAGAAAAATATAAATAAATCTCCATTGAACAACTTGAAACAGACCTTAGTATAAAGATTTAGTGTATGAAAGATGGTTTTCTTGTTAGTTCGAAAGGAAGGCAAGTGCAATAGTTTACTATTTAAGAGGAAAGATGGACATTAGATTCTTGCCTCACACAATATGACAGAACACTAGAGATTAACTAAAAAATAAAATTTATTTTTAAAAAACGTAAGAGCACTAAAAGAAATTGCAGATGCATAATTGATCCTACAAGTAGATAAGACCTTTCCAAACATAAAGCAAAAGAAGAACCATAAAGTTTAAACAGATCACATTTAAAAACTATGTAGCAAGAAACCCCATAGGCAAAATTAAAAGAAAAGTGACAAATAAGGAAACATATTTGCAACACAGATAACAAAGGCTTAGTGATGTTACAACCTAAAGAGGTCTTAAGAATCAATCAGAAGAACACCAATATTAAACTAGAAAACATGAAACTAAATTAGAAAAATGGGCAAACGACTCAAGCTGATGATGACCAAAGGAAGAAATGCATGAAAAAAACAGATACGAAGTCATCTAATCAAAGCAATACAAAGTAAAAAGAAATATAATTGCCACATACCAAGCTGGTTACTGAGATATCAAAACTGGTGACAATGTGAGGGCACAGAGGACTAGGCTGTGTCATTGCCACTGATGGGAGTGTAAATGGATGCAACCTAGGGAAGGCAGAGTTTGGTCCTGTGTATCAGGAACCTTTAAAAACGTCCACATCCTGCAATGTGGTCATTTCATTTCTAGGAATTTACTCCATTGAACTAATCAGAGCTGTGCATACAGAGTATATTCATTCAACAAATACTTAGTGAATGACTACTGTGTCTTACATTCTAGGAGCTGGGAATGCGGCAGTGAACAAAACACACAAAAATCGTTGTTCTTACCGCTCTTACATTCTAGTGAGGGGAAAGAGAGAAAATAGAATAAATTAATAAATTATATGGAATATCAGAAATTAAGTGCTACAGGGAAAAATGAAATAGGGAAGGAGGACGGGGAGCGTGTGCTTGGGTGTGTACGTGTGGGGTAGGGGTGCACTCTTCAAGAGGTGGTTAAGAAAAGCCTCATTGAGAAGATGACCTTTAAGTAAAGACCAGAAGGAGGTGAGGTCTTAGGTCAAGCAGAAGAGTTTTCATCACAGAGGGAACAGACAAGGCAAGCGGCTGCGAGTGGGGAGCACGCCTGAGGGCTCAAGGATGTCAACCTGGAGGGGAGGCGTGGATGAGAGGGAGAGCGGAAGGAGAGGAGGTGTGCGGAGGGGCAGGGTGGGTGGTCGAGGGCCTTACAGCTAAGGCAATGACTGGATTTTACCTTGAGTCAGACGGGAAGCAATTATTGTAATAATCATGTATTCCCAATATAGTGGCCACTGATTAAACAAAACTAATCCTATTAAAATTAATTAAACAAAATTAATAATAAATCAATAAAATCATTAATTAAAATAAATAAAATTTTAAAACTATAAATTAATAATTGAACAAAATTATTCCTATTGAACCTATTAAAACAAAGGTCAGGGCATGTCACTCCTCTATCAAACCCTCCAGTGATGATGGCTGGGTTGTAATGATTGATTTGTTTAGTGTTCCTTTGAGTTTTTAATCTCTTGAAGCGTGCCAAAAATTCTAATATTTGGAAATGTGCATTCAACACTAAACAATGCGAACCACCGGGCTGCTGTAACGGTGAAGAGCTTCAACTCTGCAGTGAAGGCAGATCCGCCCCTTCTGAGCTTCCCACTTACAGATCTTGGGTAGGTTTCTCAATCTCTGATTCTTAACTGTGAAAAAGGGGAAGTATCACCCATCCCATGGTGTTATAAAAAGTTAAATAAGATAACGTATTTCTTTTCAAAGTAAAGGGTCCCACTGGTGGCACATGAGGTGACTTTGAAAGGTACAAGGACCTGGCACTAAAGGACCATCTTGGAGGAGGAAGGCAACAGCCATGAAAGAGAAGTGTTGTTTGACGGGACACAAAGGTTTCCCAGGAGGAGGAGGAGAACAGGATAATGTTTGAGACTTTACTCGAGGTTCCTTGCTGTCTAGCCTCCAATGCTGCTGGAGGTGGCCAGGTGACACAGTTCTGGCTAAGCAGGTGTAAGGGGAAGGCTGGGAGCCCTGAGAAAGTCTTTCCACCCTGACTAAAAAGTGAAGGGCACACAGGCACGCAGGGAGAGCTCTCTCCATCCCAGCTGTGTGAGGATGTGGTGCCTGGAGCTGTAGCAGCCATCTAGTGTGCATGATGTAAGAAGGCTAAAGACAAAAGGCCAACACATGGAGGGTGGGGGTTGAGGTCCAGGTGGAGCCTGGGCCCTTGACGACATCACTGACCTGATGAGCTGATGAGAGCCAACGGATGCTAGGACCATCCACCTCTAGACTTCTGACGAAAACAACCAACGTCCTTACGGGTGAGTTTGTAACTCTGCAGGTGAGGTCCAAGGACCACAGGCCACTCAATCACCTAGGGACTAGTTTAACCCCACATCCCTGGACCCCACCCAGCTCTGCCAAAACATGATCTCTGTGGGAGGAGCTGAAGAATAGGCATTTTATACTTCCCAGGGTATTGGTTTCCTATGGCTGCTGTAACAAACTGCCATAAACTTAGCGGCTAAAAATGACACAGATTTATTCTCTTACAGTTCTGGAGGACAAAATCTAAAATCACAGTGTTGGCAGTTTCTTCTGGAGGCCTCAAGGGAGAGTCTGTTTCCTTGTCTTTTCCAGTTTCTAGAGGCCACCCTCACTCCTTGGCTCACGCCTCCTTTTTCTGTCTTCAAAGCATATCATTCCAACCTCTTCTTCTGTCATCCTGCTCATTCTTCTGTCTTTGACCTTCTTGCCTCCCTCTCATAAGGACCCTTGTGATTACCTGGCGCCCAGCCAAATAATCCAGGCTAACCTCCTCATCTTAAAATCCTTAATTTAATCACATTTGCAAACTTTTACCATCTAAAGTAACATGCGGGGGGGGGGGGGGGATACTATTTTGACCACTACATCAATTGATTACAGAATCAATAAAAATTATAGGTTTAAGAGCCAGCCCTGATAGCCTAGTGGTTAACGTTCGGCATGCTCTGCTTCAGCAGCCTGGGTTCGGTTCCCGGGTGTGGAACCACACCACTCGTCTGTCAGTAGCCATGCTGTGGCAGCAGCTCACATAGAAGAACCAGAAGAACTTACAACTATACACAACTATGCACTGGGGCTTTGAGGGGGAAAAAGGAAGGGAAAAAAAAGAAAGGAGGAAGATTGGCAACAGGTGTTAGCTTAGGGCAAATCTTCCCCTGGGGAAAAAAAATTATGGGTTTAAGCCACTGTTTGTTGATTCTTCTGTAACCTGCATGTGAAAGCATCTTCATAAATCACTTAATGGTCATAAAAACTTAACCCAGTGGTTCTTGAGAGGAGCAGAGGTGGGGGGGTGGGGCATGGAGGATGGGAAAAAGGGTTGGGGGCAGTTACGCACATTAGAATTGTTTGGGATCTTTTTCCAAAATAATTCCAAAATACCTGGGTTCTGCCCCAGACCTATGGAACTGGAATATCCAGGCAGAGGCATCAGGCATGTATAGACGAACAAACCTCCCTAGGGGATTCAGCTGCGAACCCTGGCTAAAATCCACTGATTAAGCTCCAGCTATGCCTTAGTATTTTAATCTATAAAATATAAAAATAATATATGCTCCCCCTATCTCTCATGATCATGTGAGGATCAAGGGAGGCAATGTACTTGGAAGCATTTTAAAATTGGTAACCAGCTACATAACTATCACTGGTGATCATTAGAGGAAACTGATGCGGGCTGTAAATGGTGGTGCTGGGCAAAAAATTCATCCAGAGAGACTCCAACCACTGAGAATTAACAAGGCAAGCAAAATAAATCCTTGAGAAAAAAGAAATCACTAGGCCCATACACCAAACTTCATAATTACCATGTACTCCCTGAGCATCTATTTAATCTTAAAGATTATTTTAATTTATTTGTGTTTTTTCCCCCAAACTATAGATTGTAAATGGAAATTAGAGGGGACAATGGATTAAAAGAAGCAAGCACATGATACTAGCAAAAAAAAAAATGAATTCAAAAAATTTAGTGATGTGGGATCGTTTACAGTATGGGCAAATAGCACCATGCCCCGCACTAGCCCTGACCAGAAGACTTTGTATTCTAACAGAATATGTGAGCGATCGAAATGACCCTGAGTCATGAAGAAAAGGTAGCCTTATGTTCAATGCTCTCTATGGAAAAAATGTACTAACACCACCACAATAATGATATAGGGAAAGATTTTTATTGAACAAGCTTACATTAAGCAAATTTGGGTGCTTAAAGAGAAACTTCAAATATCTATAAAATGTACACATGCAGAATGTACGTGTGCAAATATCTATAAAATCTATAAAATGCACATGTACAGAATGCCTGTATGCTATCTAAATGATATGTCACTGTATAAACTATAGCTATTGTACATCCATACGTAAGTTCTGCAGATGTGAAGGAAGCCCTCACACATCATAAGAGATCAATAAATCTGTGTTGTTCGAGAGAATGAAACTGACATTGCCACCTTCATGGATGAAGGATGGTGTTAGACGGGCTCATCTGCTGGCTGTGGAGTATACAATAACAATACCACACCTTTAAATTTGTATAATTACTTATTTACACATTATAAAGTATGTTGACATCGCATCTTATTTGCTCCCCACCCACTAAAGCCCCAAGAGCCAGCTACTACTATTCTACTTTACATTTGAGGAACTGAGGTTCAGAGAAAACTTTCTCAAGATGCCACAATGACCAAGCAGCAAAGGCCAGCCTGGAACCCAGATGTGATTCAAGATCCAGTTTTCATTTTCGAATTTACGTTACTGTAAATATCACTTCACTTAACCATCTAACAAGGACGCTTTGCCGAAGCACATTTCTAAAAACAAATTCAGATGGGAACTTAACGTATCATGATCTATCTATTTACCTATCTAACAATCTACCTATTTATAAAGCAGCATGAATCAGAAAAATTTTAATATATTGTACCTTTTTTTTTAATGTGTCCACACACTGGGTACATTTCTATAAACAGCTTTAGCTCAGAGTGAAATTTTATGACTGAATCTTAAACACTTAAATAAATAGAAAATGCTAAAATGATCTAAGCTAGTAAACAAAATCATTAGTTCTAAAAACAAAAAGCTCAAAATGTGCAGATTTCACAAGTATTTGGTTGCTATACGTTACAGTTATTCAAATGGTGTATTTTACTTTTATTTATATTTCTAGTGGACTACTATCTTTCCGCGCAATTTCAACCCACATACATTGATGACATATGCAGAGCTTAAAATGCCATGATTCATCAAGGCTGCCACAGTCATGCAGCTCAGTGATAGACCCATCGGATGTGAAGCTGCACGCTGCATAATGTACACTCACGCTCCCCTGCCCCCACCATGCATTGCATGTGACTCCAGCAAAGCATATTCACCCACCTCCAACCCACCCTCCCACCTGAGGGAGAGCACATGCCATGAAACTGAAGTAAATAAAAAAGGATTACATAAAGGCACCCTTAGTCAGAAATCATCTTTTCCACATTAACAGTAAAAAAGTCTTCACTATGAGTTTGGCCAGTTTTATACCATTACCTTTTGGTTCTTTGCAGAGAAACCAAAGTACAAAATGCAGAGTATTTTCAGATTATTTATCATGTAT